TTTTTTTTTTTTTTGATTGCCACCCCTGTTTTTTTTTTTCTTTTCTTTCTTCTTGTAAATGTTTGCTTTATTGTTCCCTTTTCCTTTATTGCTGAGGTATTCACTTTCTTATTCTTTCTTTTTTTTTTTTTTTATCCCTTAATCACGTAGTGCCGTTACTGCACCTTTTCTCAGTGGTGATTCAACGACAGTGTTCACAAAGAGTGGAGATAAGGGGCAAAAAAAAAAAAAAAGGGGGGGAGGGGAGAAAAATAATTTGCGTTCTTTAACTCTTCTTCCTTCTTCTTTTTTCTTTCTTCCTTTACTGTTTGTGTGTATGTTTGTGTGTATGTGTGGTGTGAGAAGAGAGAGAGGTGTGCGGTACACCCACTGCAGTGCTCAACACAGAACTTAAATACCGCCAACAACAGAGAGAGAGAGAGAGAGAGAGAGAAAGAGAAAGAAAGAAAGAAAGTTGATATTAGAAGGAAGGAAAAGAAGATGAATGAGGGCAAATATAAACAAGAGAGAAAGCAAAAATAAAAAGAGAAAAAAAAAAAATAACGAATGGAAATGAAAGGGGAAGGGGGACGGGAGGAAAGAAAAAGGAAAGAGGAAGAAAGAAATTAACGTATATGAGAGTAAAGGAAAACAACAACAACAACAACAAAAAGGAGAAAAAAAAAAAACAGTAACAATAACAATAACAAAAAAAAAGGACTTCATTGAGGAGAAAACGATAATACTATGAGAAGATAATGGACAAGGAATTCCTCTCGCGTGAAGGGGCACTGAACACCAATCACCGGCATCGTTTCACTTCCATACTTTACTGTTTTTTTTTTTTTTCATTTTTTTTTTTTTTTTTTTTTTTTTTTTTTTCATTTTTCATTTTTTTTTTTTTTTTCGTTTTTATTTTTCTTCGTTTTTTTCTTTTTTTTTACTCTACCTCACTCTTTTCCTCCATCTCTTTTTTTTTTTTTTTTTCTTTTCATCTCATCTCTCTCAAACAAAAGGAGGTGAGCAAGCAAAGCACTGTTCATCCATCTGTGATGCCCCTTCACGTTTTTTAAAACACAAATATGAACCATCACACACAGATATACAGATAAATAGATAGACAAATAGACAGACAAATAGATAGCAATCAGCATCTACATTCATATTTTTCCTAATATTAGGAAAAGATGTATACAAAATGGGAAAGACAAAAGCAGTAAGAAGGAAAAAAAAAAAAATAATAGGCACATAATGAGAGAGAGAGAAAACACAATATATGCTTCTCACAGTTTTATTTTATTTTATTTTTTTTTTCCCTTCATCACGGATGTGGGAAATAATATCAAAAACCGTGGTCACAGAAAGAAAGGAAACAAACAAAGAAATAAAAAAAAAATTTTTTTTTAAACTGATGCACAAGTTACTCTACGTTTTTTTCTTCTTCGTTTTTCTTTTTATTTGTTTTTCTACGTTTTTTTTCTTTCTTTATTTATTTCTTTCAGTTTTGTCATTGTCATTGCAGTTATGGTTTTTTTTCTCTCTTACTTTCTCTCTCTCTCTCTCTCTCTCTCTCTTTTCATGTGCATATCACTTCGTTTCCCTTCTTTGTAGGGGCAGAGCTGTGAGGGGAGAAGTGTCGATGAGATCGACGTAGTGTCCATCGGAGCTCCAAAAGCCGCCTTGAGAATCACGGGCACTACTGAAACTCATCTTCGCAGACGCCACGGCATTCATTATCTCACTGGACAATTGTGCGGGCCGCACACAGCGCTGCGATAAGGGCGTTATAGAGACACGTCGTGGTTCCATTCCATCATTAAATAAATCTGCTGTATCCAACATGGAAAGTGATGATAACTGTAATTGTTGTTGTTGTTGTGGTTGTTTGGGGCGTAGAGAGGCTGCATCTATTCTTCTACGGCTGCTGGAACTACTTTCTCTACGCGTTGTTGTTGTTGTGTTGTTATTGTTATTGCTATTGTTATTATTGTTGTTTGTATTCGTATTTGTATTCGCGATGGATGTCTTTTTGGGTGAAGCCACTGTGCTGGGGCTCTTTGACTCGAGGAACCATGGATGGGCGAGCAGTTCCCGCGCGGTGGGCCGCCGTCGGGCATCCCGCACAAAACAGAGATCCAAAAACCCCCGCAGCGACGGGGAGGCCTCACACGTCTCCGGCAGCCGCGGCGGAGTGCCGTTGGTGGTGGAGACAATCGCGAAGAGAACCGCCGCCGGGGCTTTCATTTCGTGTCCGAACGGTTTTCGTCCGGATATCATTTCAAAGACAGTGACGCCAAGACTCCAAATATCCGCCGCGGTGGTGTAACTTCGTTTTTTACCTTTTCGCCTTCTGGGCGTTTGCAGCGAATTATTATTATTATTATTATTATTATTATTCATATGATGATTAGATGTATGGATATCGTCTTCTATTTCCTCCACTTCTTCTCCTTCTTCCACTTCCTCTTCTTCTATTGTGCCGTTAATTACCTCTGGGGCCATATACCATGGTGTTCCCACTGTTGTTCGCATTGTGCCATTATCATCCAACAACTTACTCACACCAAAGTCTGTTAACTTACACCGTCCATCGGCTGTGATGAGAACATTTCCCGGCTTCACATCCCGATGACAAACACGGGCGGTATCATGCAAGTACGCCAATCCCTCAAGAATATCACGGGTGTACGATCGCACCACACTCTCACGCAGACAACCATGACGACGAATTAACGCATCCAATGAACCACCATTTACATATTCCATTATAATCTGTACACCTACCGTACTGCGTCTGGCTCCATAATAAGTAACGAGATTTGGATGTTCAAAACGTTCCATGAGACTAATCTCACGCACAATTGCACGACGTTCCTCTGCTAATATTGGATCCTCCTCAGATTCAGCATGACTAAAACTATGGTTCTTATGGTTGTTACCATGACTACTACTATGACTACTACTAAGACTGCTATGACTACTGTGGGGGCTCTCACAGCAACTATGACCACCGTCGTAGAATGGAATTTCTTTTATTGCGACGAAACGGCCACGCTCTTCATCGTAACCTTCATACACAATACCTCTCGCCCCAACACCCAACTTTTTCTTTGTTTTGCGAATATGCTCCATGTAATCTACACTCCTTTAATTACTTGAAAGAAAGGGAGATAAACTCACTCGTATGTTTGTGTTTGTGTCTCTGTGTGTGTATGTATATATACAGTGGATATATATATATATATATATATATATATATATATACAAAAGAAAAAAAAGGCTAACCAGATAACTGGCTAACTAGTTAAAATAAAGAAATTTAGAAAAGGGGTGAAAAAGAGACATTTTAAAACAAGGAGACATGTACATGTGATCGTTTTTCTTCTTTTTGTTATTGTGGTGGTTACAGGTCCTTTACCAATAATAGAAGAATAACAAAAGCAGAAAACATATCCACGAACATACAGAGACATATATATATATATTTTTTTTTAAAATAAAAACGCACACGGCAAAGATAAATGTACACCCCCACGATCACAAAAAAAAAAAAAACGCAAGAAATAATAGTAAAAAAAAGGATTAAAAATACCAAAAAAAGACAAGAAAAAAAACAAAAGAAATGTCTCTGAGTGTATGTATGTGTAAGTTCTATGTGTTTTCACTGAGAAAAAAAGAAAAAAGAAAGAACAAACAACAACAAGAACAAGAAGAATAATAAAGTTTACGGAGGCACTTCATGTACAATGCGATGGGCCCGTAATACCACCTGAAGTAAGTACGACTCGACCGTCTTGTCATCTCCATTATTAATGAAAATCCACATTGGCCAACGTCCCTCTGTTTTTCCCTCTGGTAAAGTTAACATATCAATCTGTAATGTAATAAACTGAGAATCCCCTGGTGCCAAGGCAAATTGTTTTGGTGTAATGGAGAGTTGATATTTATAATTGTGATGGACTGTGAAGACCTCATCTACTTGTCCACGATGAACAAACTGTAAACGACGGAACACAGGTGCGGTCATATCTGCTAAACTAAGTTCTAATGCCTGTGTATAGGTTGGTGTAGGGTAAACCGTCGGTACAGTAAGTAATGTTTTCGCTAAATGTTGATTGGTGAGTGTGTGTAATAATAATTGTTGAGTGCCAACCTCCTGCGGCCGCATACGCAGTAAATAAGAACTTTCACGCTGTATTACCTTTACATGGGGATCACTACAGTAAAGAGCTTCAATACCCGCAGAAGGAAGTGCCACTGTAGTTGTTTGCCCAAATAATAATTCCCTTGATGTTACTGCATTGCAAGCAAATACACATAATTCCCACGTCTCAATGACTTCACTCATCGCCTCATCTGCAAAGAGGGTCATATACTCCACCCGCTCTGTTTGATTTCCCTCTGCTGGAATGTTTACATGCATCGTGATTTCCTCCCAAGCCACCATATATGTTTGGGTGATGGGATCCAGCACCGCATTGACCTCCGCCATCGTCCCCGCTGGACTCGCCACTCCCACATGTCCACACACCGCCCGCATACGATTTAATAATTGAATAGTATCAGATGTAATTGGGAAGAGCGCGGCGGGGAAAAGACGTGAAAAGAATTTCTTGGATACTCTCGTACCAGCCACTCCATATATTTCATATCGACGATCTACAAACGGTGGGCCAACAGTTGCGTGAATGTCAATAACACGAACAAGTTCACGACCACTTTCTGCATATAAACGTGCACGTAGTTGTACAGCATCTCTATTACTGTTATTATTATTATTATTATTATTACCACGTCGTTTCCCTCCAGTGTTGAGACGAATAACGAGTACCACTTCTGTTCGTTCTCTTGGTCCTAAAAGAAAAGAAGGTGATGATAAGACTTCTAATGCACCAGTCGCAGCAGAGTCTATCTCTACACAAAAACGCATCGCTACATTAAAAGGATTTTCAAATAATGTTCGCGTTTTCTCTGGACGAAAGGCGGCAACACACAAGTGATGATGTACAGTCAGTCGAGCCATAAGGGTTTCCGCAATTTTACGGGATTTCATTTCATCTCGCTGCTTCTCAAGATAACGTAATCGGAACTCAAGATCAGCTTCCTGAATTCTATTATTATTAGTATTATTATTACTCGACACACCTGATAATGAAGTTCTACTACCGTATAATTGTTTTACGTATTGCGCCCGACGCCAGTGAATATCATCTTTTTCTCCACTTTTATTATTAATATCATTATTTCTAGACTGTTGTTGTTGTTGTTCTTCACCTCCTTGTCCTTGTCCTTCTGAGGTTTGTGATTTCTCTGTTACACCTGCTGCTTGTATGGGTAGAGGTATTGCATTTGAAGATGGTCTATCATTCCCCTCTTGAGAAACTAATGTTTTTGCTTCTCCTCCTTTACTTATATTATCAGGGAGTTGTTCCATGATATTTGCATGGGGTAATTTCTTAGCCACAATGACCCGTGATCCTTTAGGAGGTTCAATCACTCTATTTACCTGCACAGTGGCGAGATTACCTCCTCCAACACCAACACAGAAAAGTGTTACATGCAATTGACCCGCATTACGCATAATAGGAAGTACTTTTGCTGGGACCGTCTTTTCTGTTAAACTAAGATCTCGATAAAAAGGAAGATCCATTGCCGTACGGCTACTCTCCGCATTATAAGGACGACGAAAATGTTTTAACTGAACATTTGCACTTCCAATATAAAACATCGTTAGTGCATCATAAACGTGAATATACAGTGTAATATCACCATTTTTCTTATACTTCTGTAAAAAAGGATCTTCTGCAGCTTCTATTGGTTCACACCATACCATTCCACCTCGTTGTGTACCTTCGTAAAGTTTAAATGTCTGCACATGAGAAGTTTTATCAATACGTGATGTATGAATTGGACCAATGGTTTGAAATGGAAGAGGTCCAAAGGAAAACATAAAACAAACATCCACTGGTACCTCAATAGCGGTATCTGTAGATAACCCTTCAAAACGAATACCATACAAAGAAGCCGTCATATCATTAGATGCAGGAACATGAACTTCAAGAGGAGTCCCACGTACAGGATGTAATATAGGTTGAAGATTTTCTTCTATTTGACATCGAACTTCCCAAGAAATAGAGACAGGAGTTGGGGAAAGATCTACTACATCAATTTCTGTAGCATCATCTAATCTTTTACCAGTCTTCGTAACACGATCTGCTGGAATTCCACGTGGTCGTCCATATCTCATTATTTCCTCCTGCATCTCTCGCAGACGACGTAATTCCTCCATAACATTACAGAGCATTTTAAATACATCAATAGAAACATCTTCTTTCCCAGTTTGTCCCTTCATCCCATCTAAAGGATAAGAAAGTTCTATCTTTGGGGCAACTGGAACCGTTGTAGTTGAAGAAATCTTAGCAGCGTCAGTTGTTAAAGTAGCAATATTTTGAGGACTAGTCGCTATAGCTGTGGTACCCGTTTCTTTTGGAGGAATATGTTCTTCTGTTGAGAGAATTCCTATATTTTTCATTCCTGGATCTACGGAAGTAAAAGGAATTTGTGTAGTGACAGTGTCTTCTGTTATTAATTTATCACTCATAGGTGTCTTATCATCCGACTTCTTCATCATCATCATCATCATCATCTGATGATCGTCGTATCCTCCCATCTCTTTCCCTAATGAAAGTGTTTCCATCCCCGCTGGTACTTCCGTATCGTAGTATTCCACTGTGAGAGTAACGGCCATGGGTAGTTTCCCATACGGTGAGGAGGGCTCCAACATCAACAGTCGTGGATCTCGACAAGCAAATGGTCCCTGCAGAGTGGGGAGATTCTCCACACGCAAATCCCGATCCCGCACGGGCATTACACAGAGTGGAAATACACAGAAGCCCAACACTTCAAACTGCGACTCCCCCACCCGACGACGGCGAATGGCAAGTACGAGTGAAGTCGCAGAATGCACCGGCAGTGCGTCAATTGTGAGAGCCATGACGGAGTGCAAAACACGATGCCGTACATTTCCTCCACGTGCAGACATTGTAAAGGAGGAAGCCGATCGCTTCACACTATCATTATCTTCATCCTCATTATGATGTATATGATAATCATGATGACTATCGCTACTAGTATCCCTATCATCACTAATGCTATTGCTCGTGCTACTAATGTAATCAAATACCAATGGAACCTCTGCGCCTTGTCCAAGTTGTTGATATCCATTATGGGCCACAGCAGCCACACGCCACTCTGTTGAACTATTATACCACTCTGCCTCTTCGCTTGTGGGGTTTAGTTGAATGTTCGTCACTACACATCGGAAGGAGGAAGTGGAAGCCTGCGGTGTACTCTCCGTGAAACTCTGCGGTACAAATATACCAGGAGGCACAAGTCGGGTCATGAGCTGCACAAGCACCACATCCTCCACAACACTACACTTATATCCTAATTTTTGAACCGCATCTTTATTGTTTGTTGGCCATGATTTGGGATCCAGCAATAACAACTGGGCACTACCAGATTGTAGTGTCAATACACAATCGGAAGCCAAATTAGAAATGGGAATATAACCCCAAAGTAGTACACGTCGCCCTTCAACAGGCGCATTACTACGTTCATCATGAGCCACTAATTCTAATGCCAACACCACATTCTCTACAGAAGTCTGAAAAATAATGGGCTCCGTAATGGTTTGCCGCGATACAGTATAAGTGGCCCCAATAAAAGAAGAAGAATTCTTATCGAATAAGGTCATCTGTAAGGCCACCACATCCATAAAAGGTGATTCTAAAGGCAATTCATCCCAAGTGAGCCGTAGTGTAAGGCGAGATCCAACTGTATTCTCTTTTAATGCCTTTGACTCCCATGTATCATAGCGAACAGCATTTGATAAAAGTACGCGAGCTGTTTGCTCTGCTGATCGACTACGGACCATCTTGCAGCTTCAACTTATGTTTTTTTTTTTTTTCGTTCTTATTTTTGTTTTTTTCCTGTTGAGCAGCTGTGATCTTTTCACCTGTTTTCTTTTTTCTATGTATAAAAAAAGTATCTAACGACACGTGAGTATCACAATGAGGAAAGAAAAAAAAGAGAGAGAAGAACCGCTAACTCCCTAACCCGTTCCTTCTCTAAACTAATGCGGCAAAAAAGAAAAGAAAAAAAAAAAGAAAGTTTAAAAAAGAAAAGTATCTTATCAGTAATCAATCACCCAATGAAATATTATCTAAAACGGGGAAAAAAAAACAGTCCCAGAAAAAAGAAACTCTTTCGAAAATAAAAATTAAATAAAATAAAATATTTCCTTTACAGGAATAATATGGTAGAAGAACAACAATGAACAAGCCTACACCCAAAGAACTGGAACCACGACACTTTTCACCTATTCACTGGACAGCATCGAAATAACAACGGAAAACAACGTCCCAAGAACGATAAAATGAATTGACGCATCGCTAATAAAGGTAAAAAAAACCTTTAAAGGACAAAAAAAAGAGGCTTCACTCATCTGGAGTCAACACAATAATATTAATAATTATTACAATAGTAGTAATAATAATATATAAATATATTTTTTTTTACCCATAAAAACAAAAGAAAAAAAAACAATTAAAAAAAAGAGTTATTAATAGGCTTCTTTCTACGCCGCTCGATCATTTTCACTTACACGAGGCTGCTTGGCTGGTGTTTCCACGGTTTACCCTGAGCACTGGCAATCTCCTCAAGGCTCTTCACGTGCGTCGCAGCCTGTGTTAGGGCATGGTGCAGTTCACTGCCAATGCTGATAAACGTGAAACCCTTCTGCAGAAACTCTCCCACACGGTCCGTACCAAACAGGAACAGACCCAGAATCACGTTATTCTTGCGTGCCGCCGCAATAAGTTTCTCCGTCGCCTCGTTCAGTTCAGGGGATGTGTACATCTCAGGGAACACATACTTCTCGTACAGACCCATGGACATGCAAAGATCGTTCTGGCCCAGGAATGCAATATCAACACCCTTCACAGCCATGATGGCATCCATGTTCTTAATGCAGTCAGCCGTCTCCACCTGAAAGGCCACCACCACATTCTTGTTCGCCTCGCCAGCGTATCCCAGCAGGCCCTTTGCGTTCATGCACTGCTGTGGGAAGTACACAGAGCGTGTGCCGGCAGTTGGGTAGTAGCAGCACGTGACCGCCTCCTGCAGCTCCTCGGCGTTGTTCACATACGGGATCAGCACACCGTCGGCACCGGCGTCCAGTGCGTTTTGAATGCCGGGCCGGTCCTGCGTGCTGCCCACACGCACCATTATCTTCGCAGGGCCAGTGCGAATGGCGGCGATCATTCGACTGAGTGTCAATGCATCCACAGGGGCGTGTTGGGTATCAATCAGCAGCCAGTCGTAGCCGGAGTGGCTGAACTGTCCAGCAAGAAGATGGTTGGAGGAGTTGAGGAACACTCCAAACTTCGGCTTACCAGCACGCAGCTCAGCCTTGAACTCAGCACCACTTAAAGACATGTTTGTTTGGGAGTTGTTGTTTTGCGGTTTCGTTTGATTCTCCCCAGGGAAAACAGGGTGTGGACAGAGTCACAAGTGAGAGGGAGCAGAAATAGAGAAAAAGAAAGAAAAAAAAAATAGAAAAAGAAACAAGATAATAAAGAAGGAAAACAAATAGAAAGAGTGAACAGAGAAAAAAAAAAAAAATTGGTTTGAGGGAAAATAGGTCGTTTTTGTGGTAATGTCAGTGTTTTTTTTTTGGTCGATCAGCTTGTTATTTCTTACCATTGGTTCTCGTTCTTTGGGACGTTAATGCCGTCTTTGGTGCGATAATATACGATAGCTCCTGTGTGTATAAACATATAATGGTAATATGTATTAATATATATAATTGGCGAAGGGCATAACACAAACGAAGCAAAACAAGAAGCAAAATAACCCTCCTCTTAAACAAAAAAAAAAAAAAACTGTTACCAAATGGATAAGGTTGTTTGCTGCCCTAGAGAGGGGCCGTATGGTGGTTAAGATAGGCGAGGGCGCAGTTATCGTTACAGTGAATCAATTGTGGGGTGATGGCCTCACGTACGGCGCGGTGATACGAGTCCACCATTTGCCGTTCCTCTGAAGTGAGAGCATCGGCGTCGATGAGTTCACGGCAGAGTGGTGCCATTGTAAGTGTGTCAAACGTAAGAAATCCCTCCGCGCTGTGTAGTGTGGGAGTAGGCACAATAAGCTCCAGATTCTCAATGCGAATACCAAAGGATCCATCCTTGTAGTACCCAGGTTCATTAGACATAATCATTCCCGCTGCTAATGTTGCCTCTGTTGGTGTTGGTCGTGCCCCAATACCCTGCGGCCCTTCATGTACGTTTAGAAATGAACCCACACCGTGGCCAGTGCCGTGGGCGTAGTTAAGACCAACACGCCACAATGCGGTCCGTGCGAGTACATCGAGTCGATGTCCACTTGTGCCTGTTGGCCACACGGCGGTGTGAAGGGCGAGATTTCCTTTTAATACAAGTGTGTACGCCTCTCGCTCTTCCGGCCGCGGTGTTTGGAAACACACCGTGCGGGTGACGTCTGTCGTGCCATCCAAGTACTGCGCTCCACTGTCGACAAGATAGATTTGATCTCGCACAATCGTAGCAGAGCCTGTTTGCGGTGGGGCGTAATGTACAATAGCGGCATTAGGACCAACGGAGGAAATGGTAGTAAAACTGGGTTGTACAAAGTAATCACCTTCACGACGGAAGGATTCTAACTTCACTGCAGCATCGTATTCATTGATGTTGGTTTCACCTTTCACGGCCACAGCATCATGTAACCAAGCTAGATAGCGTGTGAGGGCCACTCCATCTCGTACATGGCAACGACGAAAACCTTCTATTTCTACCTTATTCTTTATAGCCTTAAGTTTTTGCGCTGGACCACACTTTACACGTTTTGTCTGTATTCCCATAGTCTCTAACATGGAATAGAGATGTTGACTTGTTTGATATTCATCTACAAGAAAAGTAGATGTGTTTGGCATTAAACCAATAAACGCCTCTAACCCATCGTATGGATGTAATTCCATTAATGGTTCTCCGTTGGTAGTAGTGGTTGGTAATCCATCCTCTGGTAATTTGGCCGGATCTACAAAGAGATGTAATCTAGGTGAAGCCGACTGTACAAGAGCATAGGCATAGAAAACTGGATTAAAGGGAATATCAGCACCACGGAGATTCGTTACCCACGCAATCTCATCTAATGCCGAGAGCACCATCGCATCACATTTCTGACGTTCTAATTCTTCTACTAATGTGGCTACTTTCTCTTCACATCGTACACCACAAAACTCTTCAGGTCTAACGAATAACTTTACAGGTGGTTTCTCTGTTTTTGGCATAAGTGGCTGTACAATTTCCGGTATAGCGACCAAATTTATGGATTTCCGCCGACGTTCCCACTCTGCCACCGTAGAAAGAAAACTGTTCATTCCCACTGGAGTTTTCGTACCCAAATTTGTCTGAATCCATTCCTCTAAGGTTGGCACTCCGGGATATCCATCTTTCATTAACTGCCATTCCGGGTATAATGCCTGTGAGGCTTCCATCCAATACCGTCCGTCTGTCCACAAGTACGCCTGATCCATCGTGATAAGACATGTGCCTGCACTTCCATTGAAGTTACTGATGTACGCACGGCACTTATATTCATCCTTCACATACTCACTATTGTGGGGATCACTAGAAGGAACAATGAGGGCCCCAATGGCGTGCTGCTGCATGGCATCTCGCACAGCTGCCAATATCTTGCTCCCGACTGACATCATTCTCTTTCTCTCTCTTTTTAACTTTCTCTTGAGTTTTTTTTACCTTACTGCTTTTAAGTAATAATAATAATTATTATTATATAAATAAATTAAAAAAAAAAAAATACACATATAGATTTGTTGTTGTTGTTATGTTTCAATTTACACGTGTGGATAAAGAAGAAGAAAAGTGAATAAGTATAGTTAGGAGAATGGCAGTAGTAAGAAACAAGAAGAAACACAAAAACAGAAGAAAAACAAAAAGAAGACATGTTTTTTTTTTTTTTTTTTTTTTTTTTAAACTCTTTCCAGTATATAAATGTATGTATTTTAACATAGGCAGACGCATACACGCAAAAACATTCCATGCACCAAAGAAGAGAAAAGAAAAGAAAAACAAAAACAAAAAAAAAACCTCTTTCTACGTTTCACAATATCTTTTCCATTTTTATTACCCTCTTTTTTCTTTTTTCTTTCCTTTTCCCTTGTCCCAATTCATTTGTATAGAAGGGAAAACAAAAACAAAAAAAAAAAAGAAAAACAAAGAAAATAGAGTAGGAATGTCTTTTTTCCAACATCATTCTCTAATTGCTCTTGAAATCCCTTTGAACTCAGGCTGTGAATAGCAAAAAGAACAAAAAGAGAACGATGAGAAAGAATGAAAGAAAACAAAAAAAAGAATTCTACCTGGAAAGAACATAGACACACAAATAACAAACAAGAAAGAAATTGACAAAAACAGCTAAAGGTGCATTTAAGTCGCAGCCACCACACCTACCAACAAGTCACTACAGTGGCTACATAAGGTTAAAGTAGAATGAGGAAAAAAGAGGTTTGTAGCAGCAATGAAAAGCGACAAGCCCAAAATAAGACGCTTCACACGAACGATTATTTATTTTTCTTTTCTCACTTTCTCTTATGGGAATAAGCACATTTTCTCGGAATAAAAGCATAGTCCGTTAAGCAGTACACACAAAGCCTATTTAATATTGTAACTATAAGCTAACCCCAAGAGTGAAGTCGCATATACACATACACACATATATACACCCACACACAGCGATGAATAGGAATAATATATAAAAAAGAAAAGAGACAACAAAAAAAAAAAAACAAATACGGTGAAATATATTCATAGACTAAATGTGATTATTTACTCACACACACACACACATACACAGACTACTTAGTGTTTATTATCCTATATATATTTTCTTTATTCCTTCTTTTCATTTTTGTTTCTTTTATAGTTCTGTAACAGCCTTTAACACAGCTTCCTCTACATCCTTACTTGTGGCTGTATCCAGATGATCCTTCATGTCAGTGAGGGCTCTTGCCATTACTCGTTGAGCCGCACGCCGTTCTCCAAGCACGGCGACGTCGTCAATAACGAGTTCAAACCGCAGTGGTGTGGGAATGTAATTAAGTGTTTGGGCGCGGCCCTCCAAAATAACATTATATCCCGCCTGACTGAGTTCCTTTACGGCTGCAGCGGCGAAACGGATAACTTCACCTTGTGTTTGTTCTGCCACCGTTGGAACCGCTTTGCTGATCTCAGGGGTTTTCAGCAGTGTATTTTGTATTTCCGAAACACGTAATTTTCCCTTGAGAATAATATCAAATTCACCATCAGGCATTTTTTGAAATTTCACTTCTTCTTCCACCTCCTTTAGTAATTCAGGAGTAAGGAGGTCTGTGCGAATATGCCCATGCAGTTTTTCATGGCACAAGTATGTGTAACTGCGGAAAACGTTCCCATTACTCCACGTTACACATTTCGGCAGTTGTTTCTGCAGTTTCTCGACTGTTGTGCCTTTTCCCGTGCCCGAGAGGCCTTGCATGACGATAACATTTCCCACTTTGGTCGGTAATTTCCGCAGTATCTCTTGTGTGACCTCCTGTGCGGTCATTCCCGCCACTTGTATGCGTGTGGGCTGGGGGACGTTTGGGTTGTCGGCGAGAACTCCCTTGGCGCGGGCGATTTTAATACCGGCGTTGAGTTTTTCCGCATCTTCGGCGTCTCTTCGGATGATGTCGGCGCCTTCAGAGGCGGCGAGTTTTTTAAAGGCGTCGAGGTGTCGTAATAAACGGAGGGCGGCGGCGCTGCAGACATCGTCCTGCAGCCGGAGGAGTGCGGGAGTGAGAGTGGACATGTGCGGTGAGGCGAGAGACTGCTGCTAATGTATATATGTTACTATATATATAGATATATAGATAAATAGATGGAGAGATAGAGAGAAGGATGGGAAAATAAGAAAGGAGGAAAACCTCTGTTAATGTACGTATACAAATGAATATATATATATATATATATATATATATATATATATATATATATGGATGAAGGAGTAAATGCTAGTGAGTAAAAATTACAAACAGCTAAGGTAATGAAAGAAAAAGGAATATATAAGAGTGTGCATGTGCAGTCATGATAAAAAAAAAGGAAAAGGGGGGATCTTATGGATAAACAATAAATACAGTAATAAATACACATTGCACAAAAACACATAATACAATAAAAAATGTAAAAATGTGACACATTATAACATTTTGGTATGTGTAATATACGTAAATATATATATATATATATATATATATACTTAAGACGTGATGGAATTCAGGGAATAAAACCAGCCAGTGAAGGGAGTGAACTGAATTAGAGCGAAGTAAGGAAAACGAAAAAAAAAAAAGAATTATTTTCTTTTCTTCGCGGAGTAAATAAGAATATATTGCAAACACACACATACACCTTCATTCGAAAAGGAAAATAAAGACTGAAAAATAAACAATGATACAACTTTCCGCTCAACAACAGCAGCATTAACAGTACTCCCTTCTTTGGCTTTCGTTTCCCTATTCCTCCTTATCTCCTACACACATACACACACAGATAGACATACACTAACTCCCAACCACCCCCCACACACATACACACCAAACCCTTCCTTCTAGCTAAAACACATTTTTCTTTTTCCCACCTCCGTCCTCTCTTTTCCTCACTGTATATATATATATATATATATATACCTGTGTATATTTTATTAGAGGAAGGGTATTACTCTTTTTTTTTTATTTTTCTTTTTGTATTCCTTTTCATTCGTTTATTTCCTGGCAATATCTTCTTCTCACCTCACACGTACATGGTCACCCCCCACTCCCTCACACACACACACACTCTCCAGCAGCACCATGTAAATGTAAATGAAAAAAAATGATAATAATAATAATAATAATAATAATAATAATAATAAGGAAAGAGTTCTTGTTGAACAACCTGCAGTTAAGCTTCACCACATCGTGTTAGCTTTATCTCGTTTTATTTCTTCATTTATTTCTTTATTTTTCTTTCAAAAAAAAAAAAAAAAAAAAAAAAAAAAAAAAAAAAAAAAAAAAAAAAACGAACAAAACCACACACGCACATTGGCACTAACAGGTACATAACCATCTACACTTCACATCTCTCGTTCTTATTTCATCCTTCGCACTCTTCACTTCCTTTTCTCCCTTTTATTTCTATTTTCATTCCTTCCTTCATCCCTCTTCCTTCCTGTGTGTAATTCCACCCTGAATATAAGTGGAGGTCCATTAAAAAAGAAAATAAAATAAAAAAGTGATCAACATCAATGAAGTATACTAAGAAGAAGTGAAGCACCAAGAAAGAAAAGAATGAAAGAGTAAGATATAGCAATATCAACAACAATAAAATAAAGAAAAAAAAAAGGGCACGAAAAAAAAAGAGGAAAAAAAAAGAGGAAAAAAAGAAAAAAACTCCCGAAAGAAACGAAAAATAAAAACACGTGCGTGAGACACATGGGATAAAATAATAATAATAATAATAATAATAATAATAATAAATAGAGACCCACACACCTTATGTATTCTCTATGGACGTACCTGCTCCTGTTGCAGTTGAAGGACCGCATTGTATTGATCCAACACATAATACACATTAGGCGCCTGCGCAAGACTCTCCAGCATTGGAATGAGTCGCCGCAACTCATCATCATCAGCATCATCAAACCATGATGTAATCGGAACGGCATTTCGCTGCTGGAATAAATACGCAACGGGGCTGTTGTCAATAATAGCCACTTGATCCAAGTCTCGTCCAAGGAGTGAGAGGTCCTTCACGTAGGCCCCATTCAACATACTGCAGTGCTCACGATAGAGACGAAGTACACCTAACATACCATCCGGGTCCACCGCATCCATAAGCGGGTTACAGTAAATAGATACAGATGCGGTAAAGATGACCACTTCAAAGAGTGGGGCTACAGCCCGCATGAATTCGTGTAAATGCGGACGGAATGCAACGTACACAGTTGTATTATTTGTCTCCACCTTTACATTAAGGACCAGATCATAGTGTTTGGGTTGACAAGAGAGTGAACTGTGCACGAGGGTCTCATCCAAGTCTAATATTAAGGTCTTTTTACCACGGTATCTTGGCATCTGTGGTGCAAGTAACGTAGCGTGATTCTTGGCAACGATAGGTGATGTGTTCTTTGGTAACCCTTGAATCTTTCTCGTTCTTTCTATAAGAGCATTTAGCTGAACCTTGGGTTTCGTTGTATTTCCAGTACTATTCTTATTATTATTATTATTATTATTATTATTATTATTATTATTATTATTATCGGTAGTGTTATTGCCAAACTTGCCGCCAGAAGCATTATTCTGCTCACCACCACTATCATCATCCCTACTATTAACATATCTAACGTTATCCTCTGGCACTGTCATGGGATCTCGATACACTGGCACACTCGTCTGTCGCACCTGTGTCATTAACGTACCATTTATCTGTTCACTCTGCAGAGAAAGACTACTACTACTACTGCTGCCAGCACCTAAAACACCATTCATCCCTACCGCACCGGATGAGGACATATAACAGCGTGTGGCTGTTGAACTTGATGTTGCCACAGCCTTCATCGTTGTGGATGATGGCAGAGGTGATGAAATGGGTTGTTGTGGTTCCTCCTCTTCCTCTTCTTTTACCCGTCGCATCTTACTATTATATGACTGCTTCGCGGCACTAATCTTAGCAGAGATGCCACGGAAAAATGACGTGGCATCTTGACTCATTTTTTCTTTGCTTCTTTTTTTTCTTTCGTTTTTGTTTTTTGTTTTTTTCTTTCGTTTTCTTTTTTTTTCTTTTTCTTCTTCTTTATTCGCTTCTTCTTTATTCGCTAATAGTACACCGCCAGCTCTACCCTCCCCCCTCAAGTGACGTGTGAAGTTTTTCTCTTAATTGGTTCTATATGCTTCTTCGCTCTATCTCCTTTCTCCCACACACACACACCTTTAGAATAAACAATAATAACGAAAAAAAAAAGAAATAGGCAAAGAAATAAAGGGATCAAATCAATAAATAAATACACACAAAAGATACAGACAGACAGATGCACTCACAGAATATATATATAGGACTTCATAGTTGTAAAAGCGTACTACACACATGCACACACGGAGAGATACGGAGAGTGCAAAAATACTGTATCCTTCAAAGGCAAGGCAGATATAATAATAACAATAATAAAAGGAAAAAAAAAGATAAGGAGATCAATGCGAGAGAGAAACTCCACCGCCAACAGTACACTGTAACGGCCTAGTTTATTACCGCTTTATCCAATTTCTTCTTACTATAGGCATCTTTACAAGAGGGATACTAAGAGGATCCACATCAACATTAATAACAACAATAATAATAGTAATACGAGTGGTAATAATAATAATAATAATAATAATAATAATAATAATAATAATAATAATAATAATAATAATAATAATAATAATAATAATAATAATAATAATAATAATAATAAACACTAAACACAAAATGAAAAACAAAAAGATATGCAACAAAAAGAAAAAAAAAGAAAAGAATAATGTAGAGAATCACGCCACAATAGTCTTTTCCCCTGTATCATGGTCCAACACCACCTGCGTGCGTGTGTCTGGGAGTGCACGCACTTCATAGCGGTTCACATAACATCGAAGCCCGGCAAACACAACCGCCACAGTCACTTCCATCTCGCGTTGACTGATACCATTTACAAAGAAACGGAATTCAATTCCTTGTATAGCAGATCCCTTGGCATCACCGCCACTTGGAGTATTGGCTTTAGTAGAAGAAGAAGAAGTATTAGTATTAGTATTAGTATCTTCCGCCGTATTTCCCTCTCCACGATTATTCCCATCAGTTTCGGCAGCAGCGGCGGTATTCGCTGAGGTACTCGCACGGAGTATGGATTCCCCCACAAGAGTGATATTTGGCTCCCCTGCTGTTTTCTCTGTGGTTCCGCATACATGTTGAATACTCCGCTGCAGTTTATCCAAGTCATTCACATATCGTTCCTGCAGTGCTGGCACCATCATCTCCACAGCGGCTTTTGGTGGGCGCTCAAACAATCGCTCCACAAAACTCTCTGCAAACGGCACAAAGTCATCTGTGCGCAGAAACTCCACAACATCAAATTCTTTTCCTCCCGCCGGCTCCACACGAAACCCAGTCACATAAAAAGGTCGTATAGGTCCATTCTTTGTGTGCAGCATATTTCCTGTTGGACGCCAGGTCCATGAAATGCGGCATTTTACTTGTTTAGCGTATTGAAAATCCACAAGTGCAATGAAATTCACGTTATTCCCTCGGCTCTTCATCATGGCAGTATCACGTGGAATGTGAACGACCTTTCCAACACGTTTACACAGACATCGCACCATTGCCCGTAGTAAACCCCTATCCACATAATTTCCGATTAACTCTGGATGAAAAAGATTCATAAGAGGTTTATCATACCCCGCAGTTGCCCCATCTGTTAAATAATCCATAAAAAGTAGAAAAGGTGCAATTGCGGTGGTGGAGAACTCACGTGGTCGTTTAATGTAATAGTAAACCACATACAATACCAAAAAGAACCACGGTAACGTAATACTAAAGAGGGTGTAAGGTACAGAGGTTAGACTCTGAAGGTACCCATCTGAAATGAACATCGGATCGTCACAGCAGCTGCTGCTGCGTTAGTTGAAAAGAAAGAAAAAAAAGAAGAAAAGGAAATTAATACACAACTTGTGAGAAAGACAATACCCACCAAGAAAGCAAAAAACAGAAATATATATATATAAACAAAGAACAAAAAGGAGATCATGAGAAATATCAACTATAACAACACGAAAAACAAACCAACAAACAAACAAATACACAGCAACAGGATTGAGAACGAAAGGATAGAAATAGATATATATATATATATATATATATATATATATATAGATAGATAGATAGATAGATAGAGAGGGGGAGAAGATTACAAACACTTTGTTTACTCAGGCAGTGTTGGTGTCTGATCTCCCCGTGCAAATCCACCCGGTAGACCTTTCGTGGCACATTGATTCATGGACCGTTTCTTTCCCTCAATGTATGGCTGTATGGGAACTTCAAAGACGGATGCCTCTGATCTTTCACCAGTGAAACTACCCCAACGGATTTTGCGTGACTGTCCCTCAGGTTTTAAATTTCCAAATGTTTTTGGTGGTTTAACTGACCAACGCGAGAGAACACGGATGGTGAACCACATCACATTCGCCTTGGTTGTAGTATTTCACCTTTTTTTTTTCTTTTCTTATAGTTTAGTACTATTCTTCTTCTTCTTTTCGTTATTGTTGTTTGTTGTTTATTGTTATGATTGTAGTAGCCGTTTCTGTTTCCCTGTACTCAAAACAAACCCCTGTGTAGAAACCCAGAGACTACATGCATAACAACAAGAGAAGGGGAAATACCATGATCCATTTCCAGTAATGAAGTAAATGTGTGTATATATAGGATCACTTGTACTCCATTCTTTTTTTTTTCTTTAATGAATGTGAATAACTGTGTACTGTAGACGTAGGGAGTTGTGTAGACTCCTTAACCGTTACACACACACACACACAAACATACACCCTCCTGTCTGTGTGAAAACGTTAATAAAAGTAAGTAAAATTAACCGAACAAGAACAACAATAAGAAGAATATCCAGAAGAAACAACCAAACAAACAAACAGAAAAAAAAAGAGAAATATACTTCAAGGACGCTCCTCCTCCTCCTCCTCCTCCAACTCCTGCGTTCTTTTTCATTTTCATTTTCTTTTTTTTTTATTTTCTTAATTCCAATTGACGAATCGCCTCTTTGAAATCCATTGTTAATGGTGCCGAAAACGTGATCACTTCTGCTGTTCGTGGATGAACAAGTGTAATCGCTGCGGCGTGAAGGGCCACGCGGTTAATGAGAGGCGTACAACACCCCGCCCCGCCGTGTTCCACATCCTGCAGAATCGGCAAACCCGCTGCGGCCAAATGTCGACGAATTTGATGTTTTTTTCCCTGTTGAATGCGGCACTCCACAAGTGCAACGCGGGAGTGGCGGAAAAAACGCACCACGCGATATTTTGTTGTGATTTTATAATCAGTTGGATCTCGCAATACCGCACGAAGAGGAACACGTGAGAGGTCCGCCTCCAATACTGCACAGAGTGCCATGTATGTTTTGGTATTTTGTGAATAGGCCGCACTTGTTCCCATTTGATGTCTAAGTGAAGATGCCGCCTCTGTACTCTTTGCCATTACTAAACAACCGCTTGTTTCTGTATCTAAACGATGGACTTGTCCCTGGCGGAATACATCACGCAATACCTCTCCATACACTGGGGATGTTAACAACAAGGAAACAATATCCGTCGTGCTGGGGTCACCTAACTGTGTACAACTAAGGGCATGTCGTGAAGTGGCAATGTGAGAGGGTTTATTAAACACAATCATATCGTTATCCTCAAAAATTACCGGTAGAGACAAAGAAGATGTAGATATAGTTGTAGTTGTGATTGTTGTAGTTGTTGATGTTGATGATGTCTCTATGGGTTGCCTTGCCGTCTCTACACACTCATGTTTACGTGGGAGTTTCACTTTCACAGAAACATACCCATGTGGGGCGAGGGTTACCGTAATACCATCTTGTTTATGAAGTAACAGTGTACGCCAGTAGGAACACTGAGGGGCAAGTGCCATTAAGTTCTCCATTACACTCTTTTCAGAGAGGGAAAGAAGAAAACACAATTCCTCTGGCCGTTCATCACCACCATGGCATTCTCCACACTCTTCAATAAAGTGTGGAAAACTCGCATGCGTTGGTTCAATCTCACCCTCCTTTAACAGCACGGCATATTGGTGTAATAGTCTACTATCTACCAAATATCGTTTAGGATCTTTTAACGCACAGGCAAGCGCCGCACGATACACGGACTCCTCTTGACTATTCAACACAGAACTTCCGCCTTCTTTACAATGTCTTAACGCATTACACAGCCACGGCCGCTCCACATCATTTAAACACCAACTGCTAAGACAATCAAGTGAAACACGACGCGGCAATAATTGTTTACGTTGTACAATACCTGATAATACGGAGGCACGTTCCATTGGCCACATATTCTCTTGCAGGAACTGTGAACTCCAGCGTTGAATCGCATTCGCGTCTGTTGGAAACACAAGGCCTGGATCTATATTAAATCGACACGCCACAGCAAGAGATTCACGCAAGAAGTTCGTATTATTATCCTTTACATTTGTCTTTTCCCGTACTTCCCACAACTTATTACGTAAACGTATAGCCACTTGAGTTGCACATGTCTCTGATGCCGCTGTTATTTCATCCTTCTCTGCAAATCCCTCCAGAAACGCCAAAACCGCCGCTGGCTTCTCAAGAGTCACTAACTTTGAAAGTGCGGCACTTGCCCCGCTAGCGAGTGATGGTAATTTGGCATTCATCGCCATCGCTAATGCGGCTGGAGGGTTTTTACTACTCAACTCCTCTACAATACCGCGATAAGTGGCGATTTCATCCGGGTGAAAGATCAGAGCCTCCTTTCCTTTCCGCCGCTTCTCCGCCTTGGCTAACAATTGCTGTGTAAACTTCTCCACAAGTGAAAGATCTTGTGCGATGAGTCTTCCTTCAATCTTTGAGAGAAGTCGTGACTGACGACGCTGCAGCTCCGCAATAGTGGAAGGGGTTGTAGACTTTACACATAACTGTATATTAGTATTATTATTATTATTATTATTATTATTATTATTATTATTATTATTATGATCAGCACTACTACCACTATCACTATCACTATTACTACTACCTCTACTACTGTGGGGTAATGTGGATAACATTCGCTTCACCTCCTGCACACGTGCAAGACCTTCACTCATGGGAAGATCCCCCAACAACTGCAGAAGGGCCGTTACGTGGAGAAGCTGCACAGATCTGCATGTTCCCTCTCCATCCACAAAGTCGGTATTAACAAAACACGTCGCTACATCGTGAGGAACAACTCGTTTCTCTAAAGAACGAACAGCCGAAACGGAGGATCGGCGAACAAGTCCTCGAACTTGATGCATGATGGTTGTATTTTCTTTTCTTTTGTTTCTTTGTTTCTTTTTCCTCCTCCTTTTTCTCTGCTAACCAGATTATAATAAGAATAAAACGTGAATCCGTATGTAATGATCAAAGAGAAGAAAAGAGAAGAGAAAAGAGAATGGCAAATGGTTAATGTTTTTTTTTTTTTTTTCCTTTTCTTCTCTACAAGCAGGAAAAGGAATGGAAAAGAAAGAGGAGAGAACTAAACCAGAATCAGAGAAGAGAGAACACATATCCAACAATAAAGATAAACTGTTACACTTCCTGGGATATAAATGTAAGTGAAAAGGTGAATATATCAATGGTAAGAAGGAAAAAAAAAAGAAAAGGAAAAAAGAAAAGTGGCACTCTACTTCATTTGTTCCCTTAATTAAAAGGACAAAGAAAAAAAAAAAAAATGAAAATAGAACAAAAACCACCTTCAAATAACTCTATGAGATTTGGCTTTACTCTCTCTCTCTCTCTGTTTTATATAAGATGAACCTCCACTTCCTCAACACTCTCATCCATACCTCCTTCGCCTTCATTCCCATCATCATTAATAATATTATTAGTATTATTATTATCATTATCATTATCAATGCTACTCACCGCGTCTTCATCCTCATCACTTACAGATGATGATGACGATGATGTTGATGATGATAGTACTCCACAGCAGCGAAGGCATGTAATGTAGTATACAGATTGCCGCACATCCATTCCTTCCATCTCCATACCGGGATACATTCGACGAATATGCACAAACTGTGTCTTGTTCTCATCCAGGTCAAAGTACCGTGGATCGAGACAGTCAAAGCAAAATGCCAATGGACACTCTGTGCACATAAAGATAGCGCCATCAACGGCCTGCGCCTTCCCGCATGAACTGCAACTGTGACGAGAACAAGTCCAGTGACGAAGAGAATTAACACCCACCTGCAGTTTTCGTTCACCAATGCAATCCGCATGATATGCCTTTGGACAGACAGAACAATGATATAATGGTTCCAGAGGTCGCATAATTTCTCCACATACAAAACAATTGTGGGTAACACCAACGGTTTGTCTTCCACTTCGACTCTCTATCTTTGTTGTGAATACTTTAGGTAATCCTTCTTCCTGTATGTGCAGTAAATCTTCAACCATGAGATCCTCTGCTGTGGTATCCACATCATCAGCGTCCACATCAACGACTTCATCATCATCATTCTTATTCTTATTCTTATTCTCTAGAGCTGAATCTGTGATATGATTATGATTATTGTCATTTGTATTGAGGGTGTTGTTATTATTAGTAGTGTTAGAAGCCACTTCAAAGAGCTGACGAATTCGATCAGCGGAGAGAGACATACCGGAGGACTCATCTCCTTTGCAGCTACCTCCTTCCACAATGAAATCACCAAGAGATGCTTTACGCAAAGCCACATTAAGAATTCGCTCCTCCATAGTATTACGAAGACAAAGTCTATACACACGAACCACACGTGTTTGTCCAATACGATGGGCACGATCTGCCGCTTGACGATCAATCTGTGGATTATAATGGGAATCAAAGAGAATAACAGTGTCAGCTCCTGTGAGTGTTACCCCAACGCCACCAGCTGTAGTTGTGAGGAGAAATAAAAAACAAGCGGAGTCTGGGGCATTAAAACGGGTCATAGACAATTCACGTTCTACACGTTGTGTAGATCCATCTAAACGTTCAAAGCTGTAACCCCGTAAAACACATAATGCCTGTAAAAGATCCAAAATAGAAGTAAAATTAGAGAATATAAGACAACGGTGACCTTCTTCTTTAAATTTTCGTAACATACGATCTAATTCTATCATTTTTGCACTTGGAGTAATAATAGAGGATTCTTCCAATGGAACTCCTGCAGACATCATACGTTCTTCCCATCCTGAATTTCCCGAATTACGACCTTCAGCAGCTAAGAGACGTAATGCTAAAGGATGATTGCAAACAATACGTTGATGTGTTAAATGCAGTTGAAGTGATGTACCACTAGATTCATTTTCACTCAAAACTTGTTCTGTCATACGAGTTAGTAGTCGTTGTTGAACACCGGTAGGATTAATCATAATTGTAGGTTCATCTACACGAGGAGGAATGCCTAATTCAATACTCCCTTTGGTTCGGCGTAACATAATATGTTGTAATAATCTTGCCGAGTTCTCTGCTGCCTCCACGGTATTATCATCACTGCCATCATAGCGAGTACAGAATGATGGATAGAGAAAACTCAACAAACTCCAAACCTCACCAACGTTATTATGAACTGGAGTACCTGTTACGGCAATACGAAAACATGACTTTAGTTTTCGCGCCACTGAAGAAATCATGGTACTACTTCCTTTTAATACATGGGCCTCATCCACAACTGCAACAACCCACGCTCGTTTACGAAAAAACCCACGATCTTGATTAAGAACAGAAGGAGTGGTCACATAAACACAGTGACGATTAACTCGTGCACTACGTAAAGCCGTTCGTCCTTTTCGTTCTCCATGATATTTTACCACTCGCAGTGTTGGAGACCAACGAGCCAATTCTCTTGTCCAACTTGTAAGTGTTGAAAGTGGAGACACGATTAAGTGCGGTCCATCAATATTGTGTTCTGATTTTAAAAAATTAAGAAAAGAAGCAATCTGTGCTGTCTTTCCAAGACCCATATCATCCGCCAAAATACATGGCATTCCACTGTGAAATTTGTTTAACATGAATTGAACACCTGTTAATTGATAAGAACGTAATGTGTAACCACCAGAGGTGGCAGTCTTTTCAACAGTTACATTTGTTGCCGGAAGAAACTGTGCTTTCTGATGATTATTCTCAATACGGTCAAGTGCCCTATCACTGAAAAAGGGTTCAAAAACATCTAAAAGTTCTTTATTTTTCTGTAGTTCCCATTTAAATTGGGCTTCAAAACGTTCTGCTAGTTCCTCCAACACTGTATTAGACCGTGTATCCCATGGAAGATCTTTAAGTGATACCGCTTTGTTAGAAGAATCGACTGTGTGAACGGCTTCTCCCATTAACGGGCTTTCATTTAATATTCTTCCCGTCTCTGCTACTGCTGGTAGTGTTACCTTCTCAGGTCTTATAAATACTTTATTCGTGTCACCCAATAAGAGACGAAGTTCTTCTTCCTCTTCCTCTCCATCATCTGGTAAAAGAACAACCTTCACAGGGCTTGAAGAGGCAGGAATAGTCGAAAACGAATTTTTATCATGTGTAAGCTCCGCCGCATTTGGTGAAACGTCAGAAACAGAAGCAGCATCTGTTGCTGAAGAAGTCGTTCTTCGTGTTTCTGTTAACGAAGTAGGCACTAGTGATATATCCTCCTCCACACGAGAACGTTTAATGCCTGCATTAGTACTCGTTATCTTCTTTCCGAGAAACGTCGCAAATGGATTGTTTAAACTCATTTGCGTGTTATCCCCTTAACTTGTTATTCCTTTTCATCCATACATAAATAAAGAGAGAGAGGAAAAAAAAAAAAAAACAAGAAGAGTAATTGAAAATATTTTTTTCAAAAAAGAATATCAATAATATATATACACATATATATATATATATAATACGAAAGGTCCATAAACGAAAAAAAAAAAAAAATGATTGAACGAGAAAGCGTTTGCATACGAAAAGGTATGCACAGACCAACCATGAATACACAACACAAACAAACATATATACTCAAAATCTCTCACTCGTACTCTCTCTAAATTTCTCATCCAAGCAATTCTGCCTTTGAAATGAATCTTACTCCACTTGGCGTCCTTCTCATTTCTTGTACGCCCTTCCTATTAAATCATCATTCATGTAATCCCCACTCCCATTTCCTCATTCCATTCCATTCCATTCACCACCTGGCAACCTATGCACCGCTTTCTCTCACACACTCTCTATCCTTCTTTGTTTCCTTGTGTGTTCGTGGTTTTTTTTTTTTTTTTTTTTTTTTTTTTTTTTT